ATAGAATTTAGCAAGACTAAGGACTTATTGATTGCAAATTCAGTTTTTCAACAACATAAAGAGTGAATATATACATTAACATTGCCAGAGGGAACACAAAGAATTCAAATTGACTACATATATGGAAAGAGGTAATGGAGAAGCTCAATAATATCAGTCAGAACAAGGCTAGAAGCTGACTGTGGAACAGACAGCCTTATGCAACAGCTCAGATGAAAATTTAAATTGAAACTGAAGATAATTAAAACAAATCTTCTAGGGCGAAAATACCACCTTGATTATATCTCACCTAAATGTACAGACTATCTGAAGAAGAGATTTGACACATTGAACACTAGAGACCAAAGAGCAGAAAATTTGTGGGATGGCATCAAGAACATCATACGTGAAGAAAGCAAAAGGAAGAAAAGACCAAAACTGATCTCAGAGAGACTCTGAAAACTTTCTTTTGAATGAAGAGTAGCTAGAGCAAACGAAGAAATTATGAAATAAAATAGCTGAAGTAAAGATTTCAAAGGGCAGCATGAGAAGATAAACAAAGTATTATAACGAAATGTGCAAAGACCAGAAATCAGAAAACTGAAAGGGGAGAACACATTTGGTATATCTCAAGCTGAAAGAACTGAAGAAAAAATTCAAGCTTCAAATTGCAGTATTGAAGGATTCTATACGCAAAATAGGAGCTCTGGTAGCGTAGTGCCTAAGGCACTTGACTACTAACCAGAAGGCTGTTGGTTCAAACCCAACAGCCTCTCCTAGGAAGGAAGGTTGGGCAATCTACTTCCATAGTGATACTGCTTCGGAAACCAAAGGAGGGGTCGCTATGAGTCGGGTCCTACCTGACGGCACATAAAAACAAGAACAACAACAACATAGGCAAAATATTGTATAATGAAGGAAGCATCAAAATAAGATGTAAGGAACACACAGAGTCACTATCCCAAAAAGAGTCTGTCAATGTTCAAACATTTCAGGAGATAGCATATGATCAAGAACAGATGGTACTGAAGGAAGAAGTCCAAGCTACACTGGAGGAATTGGTGAAAAACAAGGTTCCAGAAATTGATGGAATGCCCATTGAGATGTTTCAACAAAATAATTCAATGCTGGAAGGGCTAACTTGTTTATACAAGAAATTTGGAAGAGAGTTACCAACCAACTGGAAGAGATCCATATTTGTGCCTACTGCAAAGAAAGGTGATCCAACAGAATGCTGGAATTATTGAACTGTATCATTAATATCACACACAAGTAAAATTTTGCTGAATATTATTAAAAAATGTTTGCATCAGTATATTAATAGGGAGTTGCCAGGAATTCAAGCCTGATCAGAAGATGATGTGGAATGAATATCATTGCTGATGTCAGATGGATCTTGGCTGAAAGTAAGGAATACCAGAAAAATGTTTACCTATATTTTCTTGGCTATGCAAAGGCATTCGACTATGTGAATCACAACAAATTACAAATAACATTGTGAAGAATGGGAATTACAGAACACTTCATTGTGCTCATGAGAAACCTGTACACAGACCAAGAGGCAGTTGTTCAAACAGAACAAGGGGATACTGTGTGGTTTAAAATTAGGAAAGGTCAATATCAGCGTTGTATCCTTTCACTATATTTATTTAATTTGTATGCTAAACAAACAATCCAAGAAGCTGGACTACATGAAGAAGAACACAGCATCAGGATTGGAGGAAGACTCAATAATCAGTGATATGGAGATGACACAACCTTGGTTGGTGATAGTGACAAAGACTTGAAGCACATACTGATGAAGATTAAAGACTTCAGTCTTCAGTATGGACTACACCTCAACCTCAACATTAAAAAGAAAAAAAATCCTCAAAACCGGACCAATAAACAATACCATAATAAACAGAGAAAAGATTGAAGTTGTCATGGATTTAATTTTACTTGGATCCACAAAAAATGCCCATGGAAGCAGTAGTCAATGAATCAGACAATGTACTGCACTGGGCAAATTTACTGCAAAAGATTTCTTTATAAAGTGTTAAAGAACTAAGATGTCACTTTGAAACTAAGATGCACCTCGCACATGCTATTGTATTTTCAATTGCCTCATAATCATGGGAAAGCTGGAGAATGAATAAGGAAGAACAAAGAAGAATTGATGCATTTAAATTGTGTTGAGAAAGAATACTGAAAATACCATGGATTGGAAGCAAAAGGAACAAATCTGTCTGTACAGGTTCTGTACAGCTAGAATTCTCCTTAGTACTGAAGATGATGACACTTTGTCTCATGTACTTTGGTTGGGATGTCAGAAAGAACCAATCCCTGGACGAGTATATCATACTTGGTAAAGTAGAGGATCAGAAAAAGAGAGGAAGAGCCTCCATGAGATGGATTGACACAGTGGCTGCAATGATGAACTCAACCACAGGAAGGATTGTGAGGGTGGTTGGTGTAGGACCGGGAAGTGTTTCGTTCTGTTACACATAGGATCGCCATAAGTTGGCACCTAACAATAAGAACACATATATATGTATCTAGTTATGGCAGTTAAGGTTGTTGTCAACTTGGTTAGGCCTGGTTGAGTGGCTGGGCAGCTGGAGATAGCTATTCTCCATGATAAGAACTGACAGTCAACTCCATGGCAGAATCTGGTATGAGCAGCTGATTAGCTGATTTAGGAATGTGGTCTGCTTCCTTTATATAAAGAGAAGCTTTGGGGTTGGTCTCCAGCCTTTTGGCACTCTTGAACCCTGCATGTAGCCAAGTCATTGTTCAATAGCCTGCCATGCCCTGCTGATCTTGAGACTTCATCTGGACTTGAATTAGTGGTCTGCCATATTGTTTGGTTACATTGTAACTGTGCCTGTTTCCTTGAAGCACATACTGATGAACTTCAGAGATACAGCATTTTTCACAAATTGAAGGATTGTGGCAACTCTGACTTGAAAAAGTCTAATGGCACTATTTTTCCAACAGTATGTGCTCATTTCATGGATGTCACATTTTGGTAATTCTTATAATACTTCAAGCTTTTTCATAATGTTATTGCATGCTTAGTAGACTGTAGTACAGTCTAAATATAACTTGCACATGTACTGGGAAATAAAAAAAAGCAAACAAAATCATATGATTCTCCTTATTGCACTATTCACTTTATTGTGGTGGTCTGGAACTGAACCTGTAATATATCCCAGGTATACCTGTACATGCTTCACTGGTTTTGCTGCTCTAGCAAACAAACCCTAAGACAATAGGCATCTACTGAATAATGAACATGGACGAGTTGCTCCAATACAGATGATTACATTTAATTTCTACAACACTATTATTTCCGGGTGCTATTGAGTCAGCCCCCAATTCATGGGGACACTGTGCACAACGGAACAGAATGCTTCCCAGTCCTGCACTGTACCTGTGATTGGTTGCAGGTCTGTCTTTTGTAATCTGTAGAGTATGTATTGGCTTGTTTTCAGAACTAAAACACTGGGCCTTTCTTTCCAGTTTGTCTTAGTCTAGATGGTCTGCTGAGTTTGCCCAGTATCACAACAACTCAAGGTTTTACTGACAGATGTGTTGTGGCTGTATCTGAAGTGCATTGGCCAGGAGTTGAATGCAAGTCTTTTGCAGGGAAGGTGGGATTCTACAGAAGAAGGCTGAAATGGAAGGCTGAAAGGGTCCCTCATGAAAACTTTGAAATTTCCACAGGCTAGTAGGCATCACTAAAGTGGACTTTAATCATAGTGACTAACTTGCTGCTTCCCACCCCCATCACATTCTTTCAAGTAAACAGAATAGCCAAACCCTTTTTATGGACACTGAGTTCTTTAGATTGCTATTCCCAATTATGTATTCTTTGAATTATAACCTCCTCTCCCAGCTAGTTTCAGCTGAAAACCACAGCCTACAACATGATGACTCTGAGAAAAAAGACACCGAGCCTTGGAGCAACCAAGATAAAGGAACAAAGGAGACATCCCTGGCTGACCGAGAGGCCTGATGGTGCTCACTCCCATACTCCTCCCAGCTTCTGTAGAGTTAATCTCTCTAGGCAGGTGTGAGGAACTTGATAAACACTTCTCCTGACCAAGGACATGAGTCTGGTGGCATAACATTTGACTGCTAACCAGGAGGCTGGTGGTTCAAACCCACTAGCCACTCCTTGGAAGGAAGATGGGGCAATCTACTTCTGTAGAGGTACTGCCTTGGAAACCCATGGAGGGGTGGCTACGAGTCAAATCATCTCCACATCAGTGAGGTTTTTTTTTTTTTTTTTTTTTTTTTTTTTAGTTTGACCAGAAGAAGAGGTTAAAGGACACAAGATAACTATGACTCATCCCATGATGGGACTAAAACATTATCAGCATTCCCCAAATCTCCCCTAACCCCTCAGCTCAAATCCCTTTAAGAACTCTAACCATTCCTCAGCTCAGGGAGACAGGCATGTTGGAGAAATGATTCTTACTGTCTCCTTGGGTATTAATACTCAATAAACCTTTTGCTTTCTCTCTTCAACCTGTAGTGATCATTGGCTCTTTATGACAGGGGGTAAGGACCATGTTTTCCTACAAAACTTCCACTGATCAACCACTTCCCTCTTCACAAATCCAGGAGATAGAAACTGTTATTCCCATTTCATGGATGAAGAACGGATGTTCAAAGATTCACCCCAGTCACACAGCAGTCAGAACCAGACACAAATCATGGCTTCTTACATCTTGAGTCAGGGCTTTCTATTGATTTTTACTTTTGTTTGTCTTTTTCTCTATGTTTGTTTTATCTACAGAAGAGAGAAAATGCTCTTAGCAAGTCCCAGAGAAAATATTTGATAATGTTTTTTGTCTCATGAAAATAACCTATCTGCTAATTCCTATTATCTACAAAAGTACAGTTTTTATCCAGAAGTTTGTTTGTTAATTTTTTTTCCACATAGGTGTTCCTTTCCTTCCCTAATGGAATTCCTTTTACTGTGTATCACCAAGTGGGTAGGTTAAGCATGAGTTGGAATTCTGCACTCTTACCAGTGATATTGCAGTACACTTGGAGCGGTCCCAGGGGTCCACTGCCATCCACATCAATGTAGAAGAAACCGGTCATGTTCCCTTGGTGCCTGTACACCTCACAGGATTGCTCGTAGAGGGCTGAAGGATACAGTGGCAAGAGAGGAAACTTTAGTCAGCTCTGCATATCCCTTTGGAAGATTCAATAATTCCTATGTATATTTACTTTCCGTGTTGAATCATTTCCCTTCTGTTATAGCCTAAGCTAAGGAACTCTGGTGGTGCAGTGCCTAAGGCATTTGACTGCTAACCAGTAGGTTGGCAGTTCAAATCTACCAGCACTCTGCAGATAGAAGATGGAACAAACTATTCTGTAAAGACTTATGGCCTTGGAAGTCCAATTGGGGTCACTATGATTCAGAATTGATTCAATGGCAGTGGGTTTGGTTTTGGTTTTTATAGGCTCAACTAAGGCACCCTGGTGATACAATGATTAAGTGCTTGCTCGGCTGTTCACTGGAAGGTAGACAGTTCAAACTCACCAGCCTCTCCAAAGGAGAAAAGACCTAGAGATTTGCTCCTATAAAGACTACAGCCTAAAAAACCCAAGGGGTAGTTCTACTCTGTCATGTAGAATCTTTATGAGTTGGAATCAATTTGATGGCACACAACAGCATAACCTCAACTTTCTCCCCAAGCCTTAACAAACCAGTGACCAATACTTCATAGAGTAGCATGCTTCCTAATACATTCTTCTAAATTCATGTCCAAAAGTCCCCTCTTACCCCTTCTCCATGCTGATGTATATGTCCCTTCCTTATGTCTACACAGTACATTTTGTGGGATATGGACTATACTGTTCTGTCTCCCAATAGCTTAGAAAATCTGTACGACTTGTGGCAATACTTAATTTGATGTATCTCCAGCACCTAGCAATGTGCCACACTCACAGTAGGGGTTCATCACATGTTTGATTAGTGAATGAATAAATGAATGACACAAACAACCAAGTCTATTTGTTGATGAACTAAAAGGAGACTGTCTTATTTCTATATACCCAAAGCTTCAAACAGGTCAATTGCCTGATCAAGCTTAGTTTGTTTTGATTTAACTAGCATTTACTAAGTTTCTAATATATGTCAATAGATGTGGTTTCCACCAGAGGCTAGACTATGGATGAGATTATCAATTGTGTCTCACAAAGCTTGTAGGCTTGATGGAAGTTGCAAATTCCTTTGTGTGCTCAGGTGGGGCAAACACAGGGGTTTGGAGACAGGAAGCTTGCACCAACCTATAGATTTGCATGATATAGAAATTTCATTAAGCCAATGTGAATGAATTTAGTGGAGAATGAATATAAAGGAGACATCTATTGTCTCATGCAGGTAGATGTGCAGGAGAATATAAAATGCCATCTGATGCTTCAGATTCAATGTTGTAGTTCAGAGCAGCAGGTGAACTGCTCCCTCCCATACTTACAACACTTCAATGGTTCCCCAAAATTTTCAAGACATATTACCCACATGTTACCTTAGCAATATGACCCTATGACTAATGCTTCTATTCAGGGACTGGGCACTACAGTTTGTTATGATCAGGTACAAGATGTGCCTCACATAATTAATTTCCTAAAAAGTTCTAAAGTCTGAGAGGGCTTGACTCTATAAATTACAGTGAATTCAAGGTTATCCTTTGCACACATGTAATTCTCTCTTGCATTCTTATGTACTTTCAGTAGTGGAAGGTAAATGGAGCAGTCATAACTTGCACCCTAGATATTGAGCATAGATATTGAGCATAACATACAGCTTATTTCCTTTTGCCTAAACCTGGTTAAAAAAAAAAAAAAGGGTGAATGTCACACATGTGATATTCAATCCTTATGCATGTTGTACATCCCTAATCACTCCCATACTCCCAAAATGAAAATCATTTGGAAGTACTTACAGTTTCTCAACACATATATAAATCCTGACACAAATAAGATAAATACCACCCAGGCAGGCAGCATGTGGGTGCTTGCATTAAGAAAATACCCTGGGATCAAATTGTGCCATTTTAAGTCCTAGGGCTACCTCTTATGGGAGCTAGGGCGAGTTACTCCACCTGTGACAGGTAGTCTCTAAGACGGTTCCCGTGAGATCTACCTCCTTCTACTCACACCCTTGTGTAATGCCCTCCCCTTGACTGTGGGCTGGACTTTTAGACTTTCTTCTAACAAATACAATATTACAAAAGTAATGGATATTACTCCTGAGACTAGATAATGAAAACACAGTGGTTTCCATTTTGAGAACTCTTGGATCACTCACTCAGGGAGAGGCCAGGAATCAAGTCCTGAGGCAGCCTTGTAAAGAAGTTCATAGAAGGGAGGCTGAAAGCAGATCTTCTGAGCCTGTCATGGAAGTGGGCTCAAAGGACAACTACGCCTCCCCACCAAACCTGACTAAAGCCCCAGCTGATTCCTTGAGTGCAGCTTTGTGAGAGACCTGAACTAGAATCACCCAGCTAAATTGCTCCTGGATACCTACTCCACAAAAAAATGTGAGATAATAAATATCTGTTGTCTCCAATTGCTAAGTTTTGGGGTAATTTGTTACACCGCCATGGATAGCTAGTGCAATTTCAAAGCATTCAATTTCTCATCTGGCTATGAGTATAAGAAAAGCCTTACTCATACAGTTGTAGGAAGGATTCAATGAGCTCATATATTTAAAGGACTTAACCACAGAGCCTGCCATCCTAGTACATGATAAATATTAACAATTTTATTATCATAATCCCATTGGTTTATGCCATGTTGCCTCTTTTTTGGACAATTTTTTGTTTACTTTATTTATTTTTTTTTTACTTTTTTTTCATAAATCACAAGCTTGTTATGAAAACAAACAAAATAAACAAATGTAAACAATATCCTCCTACCTCCCTTCTGTGCAGCAATGAAGGCTTACAACTCTTAGTTCATTTTTTGGAATTAATCATTTTACATCTATATACATGTCAATATTGTTACTTCTTGATTTTTCATTTTAACAACTTACCTATTGACTTGTCAATGAAGAAGATAAGAATTTAGCTCTTTTCCATTACCTCCTATATACATACACCTTTCCATTCTCCTATCTTTACAAGATAGATCAACAATCACTGTTTACAATGACATAACAATGTAAATGTTATTCCACAGATGAGCCAATGGAAATGATTATTTCCTATTTCTTGAACAAAATTTTCCTTGATATTTATAAATGTCTTGTTCTCTTTTCTGCCTAGCTTTTTTCAATGTATTTATCATTAATGTAAACAGAATATACTAACAACAGTCTAAAATGACTCCTAAAATATTCAAGTAAAAAAATAATATAGGATGATTAGCTAAAGCACAGGCAATTTTTAGGGCAAAAAAACTGTTCTATATAATATTATAATGTAGATACATGACATTATATATGTGTTAAAAATCTATAGAATTAAACAATGCAAAGAATTAATCTTAATGTAAATTATGGATTTCAGTTATTAATAGTGTATAAATATTGCCTCACTAATTGTTTAAAAAAATAAAAATTAATGTAAATTAATAAATCTCTGGAAAAAAGAGAAAATGGCAGAAGAGGCCAGAAATGGAAATTAGAGTTTGATATTTTATATTTATATACTTTAAATATGAAAATATTTTAAATATTTTTTTAAAAGTATGTGAAAAGAAGAAGAAAAATCACATTATAAATATTGAAATCAAGTTATAGCAAATGAATTTATCACGTTAGTGGTCACAATGAGAAGAACTATTTCAAGTGATATTGAAATATATTTTCTTTTTAATTTTTAGTATAGAAATTTTCAAATACATACAAAAAGTAAAGACAATAGTAAAATGAACATAATATTGCCAAACCTAGCTTGAATAATTACTAATATTTGGCTAATCTTGTTTCATCTATATTCCCACTAAATCACTTATTTGTTGCTGCATGACAAAGGACTCCAAAATTGTCTTCAAACACCAACCAGTTCATCATTTTGCATAAAAGCACTTTAGACTAGACCTTAGCTGGGCAATTTTGGAGCAAGATTGGATGATATTGTGAGAACCTCCATGCATCTGCATTCAATTGCTGGGTCAGCTAAACTTCGTTAACAGCAAGTTGTGGAGTTTCAGTTCTCCAACAAATAAGTTTAGTGAATTCTCCAAGTGCACCAAGAGAAAAAGTGCTTGTCAGACATTTGATTGCATAGTATTTCCTAATGTCCTATTGGCCAAAACAAATCACATGGTCAACTAAATCCAAATAGAAAATCCCAAGGATCTAGAAGGAAATGGAGTTATAATGTAGACATACACTGTGTCCTCATGTCATTGCATGAAGCTGGGCCAGGCTGTCATGTGATATGAGAAAAAAAAGAAACTTCTATTTCTTAAAATAAAAATTTTTATTTTGAGGTTGTTTGCTACCTTAGTCTACCATGATCAGTATGCTTACTTATTCCTTAACTTTGGCTCATTTAATGGGAAATTTCTAAGTGCAAAACCTGATAATAATCATTCCTATTTATGGATAATGCAAATGAACCCATGCAACGTAAGTAGTTTTCCCAAAGGCATTAGTGGGTGGGTGATCTAATTCTATCTTTCCTTCTTGACTTATTAGTAAGGCCAATTTATAAAAATAAATTAGTAATTTGTTGCTCTTGATGTAGAGGATTGCAGGGTAAAAGCATGATAAATGACATGTCCCTTTAGTTTATCAGTTTCAAAATACAGAGGGGTCCCCTATAATTCTTCAAGTGACCAGTGAGAATATATTTAGTATTATTATGAACTCATGAATTTAACTTTGTGATGTTAAAACAATAATTTGACTATGAATCCTTAGTAGAACATACTCTATCAGAAAAGAATAACTGTTAACAAAAATCTTAAGATGCATTTAATAGTCTTATTTTAATAATATTTGTACTTTTTATGAAAATATTATATACATATAACAAAAAAATGTGACAAAGTATATTGTTACTGCCAACAAAAATTAAAATTGCTACAATAAGAGATAAAACATAAAATATCAAAATTATATAAAATGCAATATTAATTTGAGTTATACAAGGAGCCCTGGTGGCACAGTAGTTAAGTGCTTACT